CAGCAAGCAGGGAAATGGACAGATGAGGAAGTTCTGCATGACTCAGCCAGCAGAGAGTGAGAGGATAATATAATGTTTTTCTCTTTTTTTCCACCTAGAACTGGTGAAAAGTGCTGCCTGAATTTCAAACCATGTGGCCTATTTGGCAAAGAACTGCACAAGGTTGAAGGGTATATTCTGGATAAAAGGTAAATGGGTGACATACTTGATTATTCATCTCTGTAAATATATTTTGCATTTTACAACATGCAGCACCACAGGATGCCATGAGTGTCAGAAAAGGTACGTTTTCCTTGCATGACAGTAAGTGTCATACAACTAATTGAACTGGCTGATGCCTTTCAAAACAGATTCCTTAATGCTCCCATATTCAAACAAATATGATTCAGTCAGCTGTTTAAAGATACTTCATCTGTAAATCAGAAAGCAAAAGGTTTTCCTGGGTTACTCCGCTGAGCACATTTCTAGATATCAGAACCCATTATAAAATCAAATCATCATGCAAATGATCAATTAACATTTCATACACTCAATAATTCATTGGTATTAAAAGCAACTCCACAAACATGTAGGCTTCAGTGTTAAATTGAAGTTTAAAGGCTGGGGGAAAAGGCGGCTACCATGTCACTGAAGCAGGTTTACTAAAACAAAACAAAGAGCAGATGGTTCAGTCAAAAATACAAGACGTTTCTAACACAACAGAGCCAATGACTCAACACTAATGACTGGACACAAGTAGTGTGCAGGACCACTACAACAAGACGAAATATGCAAAATGAGATATTCAGAAACTTGGTGAGATATGCAGCTTGTGAGATATACAAACATACAAAATGATACTGAGAGAAGTTACGTAGTAACCACAGAGGCTGATAACAAGCAGAGAGATGATAAAACCTAGTCTGTTTATTCAGCGTGAGGTCGGATGTTGCCCGAGCCTCTGAGTCTGGCCTTTTAACTTCCTTTTGACAGGGAATGTTTCATTTAGCTGAAATTTTCAGATCATTTACCAGTGTGAAGCCACACATTAAAGTGCTTATTTTGTCAAAAAGAAAACATTTTCTTCTTGCTAATGCAGTGTCATGTTTTGTTTTTGTCTTTGGTTTGCCATCTTAGCTGATGGACCAGGAAGTTTTTATCTGCTGAAGCTCTGAAACAGCTCATCACATCTAGTTACTGTGCCTGAGACTATGTGCGTGTATGTGTGTGTGTGTGTGTGTGTGTGTTATTTCCAAAGCAAAAAGAAGATGTGTGCTCTCTATGGGAAGTGGACAGAGTGCCTGTATGTCGTCGACCATGCAGCCTTCGAATCGCATAAGAAAAACGACAAGAAAGTTGCAGAGGAGAGAAAAAGCAGCAAAGCGGTATGAACAGCACAGTTTATAACTGTGATTCAGCATGTAATTCATGGAGTTTGATGACATTATTAATATGTATTCTTTTCAGTGCAGCATTTTTTCTGGTTTTCAGGGTTGCAGTGAGGGTCAGGAGGAGGTTCCCACTCCAGCTGCAGACACTGTGCAGATGATTCCTGGCAGCCAGCTGCTGTGGAGGATTGCACCCAGACCACCCAACTCTACCCAGGTCTGACTGATTAATGTGCTAACTATGAGCTTTCAACAGAGCGCAGCCTCAAAACCGGGATGCGTTTTGTGATGTTCGAATATGCAAAATGAGTTGTTCCTTTGATTGCAGATGTACAGCTTCACGTCCTTTGCAATGCAACTAAACGAGCTGCATAAGGAGATGGAGGGCGCCATTCCACAGACTGACTGTAGGCTGAGGCCAGACATACGAGCAATGGAGAACGGTGACATTGGTAATAATTGTTAGTGACATACTGGAACTGAAAATAAAAAAAGAATACTCTCGCTGCAATCTGAAACTCTACAATGTTGTTATACAAACAGACCTCGCCAGTGAGGAGAAGAAAAGGCTTGAGGAAAAGCAAAGAGCTACTCGCAAAAACCGCTCCAAGTCTGATGAAGAGTGGAAGACGAGGTGAGGACGCCAATGACAATGAACAACTCTCTCTTCTCCTCTTCACTGCTTTACTCAACAGGCTTTCATTATCCTCTATTATCCTCTGTTCATTTTGCTAAACTGAACTACTACTTTATATGAGGATTTCATTGTGGATAAATGTATTAAGGAATAGTGTGAAATTTTGGGAAATTCACTTAGCTACAGCTACAGTTAGCAGCTGGTTGGCTAAGCTTAGTTCCAGGCCTGTTGTTTTTCAGCTTGCCGTTATATGGATTTAAAAATGAATATAACTATAATTAGTGAGATTTAGAGATGCTAATAGGTGGATTTAGTTGCTTTTGAATAGGGTTTCAAAATGTCTAGGTGTTTCTTTAATAAAGTGTGAACATTGTCAGCTCGGATTATCCTGTGTTTAACTCCAATAGCATAGATGTTGTAATTTATATTTACTTAATGTGCTGTTTTCATTGTGGCTAAATATACAGTTTCTGTCTTTAATGCTGCAATGTTATCTTCTCTTTCTACACTGTTTCAATACTTGGTGGCTTTAAAATACTCTAGCTAAATCTCCATTTTATCTTCATTTGCCCTGTTTTTCTGTCACATCCTCGTTTTGATGTTAAGGAGTCCTGCCCTGGGTCCAAGGTTAGAGCTGCTCACTGTTTGAATGATGTGCCTGAAATGTGTGATGTTTCCTTGCTGTCTAATTATTTAAATTTAAACCATATCTCTATCTAAGATATGAGAGAGAATCACTGAAGATAGAATCACAGTTTGGAGTCGATGTGATTAATCTGCTCCCCCTTCCACAAGCATGGCAGCTCCACTTCCTGGCACTTGATGGAATCACTGAAACACCACAGGAGTTAATTTTAGTCTAAAGCAAACAACTAAAACAGCCACCTCCTATGCAAATTACCCATAACCTTGTGATGAAGCATGCTTGACCTTCCTTCCTCGCTTTCTCTGATTTGTTTGAGATGATCTGGCTGGTGTCATGTTGGTCTGGAACTCAATGTGTCTCCGCTGTTCTTTCAGGTGGTTTCAGCAGGGGCAAAACCCCCACACCAGCTCCCAGGACTGGTTGTTTTGTGGTGGATACTGGGACCGGAAATACAGCCAGCTGCCAGATATTTACTAATGGACATTTCCTGCACAGAGAAATTTGCACCATACGGAGCAGCATTAACAGTTTTTTTTTTTTAATTTAATGGAATAGCTACAATAACTACAAATAATATGCAAACAGTGTACTTAAACTGTGTGGCCTTAATCTACTCTATGGTGGTAAAACTGTGCATAAAAATGTCAATATAATCAATATTTAAAAGTTGTGAAATGTAAAGTTGTTTGACAATGCTTTGAAATGTAACATTTGTATTTACATTGAGAGGGGATTGTTTCTGTTCACAATGGACTTTAGCACAGTGGAGAGGTGCTGATGCACAGGGGTTCGTGATTTTAGTGTCCATCTGTCTTCTTTTAAATGTTCATAATCGTGTTTTGACTCTATATGTATATCTGTATATATACTTTTCACAAATTCAACCTTCAGTGACCTCATCACGTCGTTCACATTTCCTCTGGACTTACAAAACCACTAGCATTTACTTAAAATGAGGTAAATGTGGATGTAATTTCTCCTTTTTTGCCTTGTAAACAAATGGAACAAAATATACTCACAAAAACAGTATATATCAATATTACACTTATAAGACTTGTCTGACAATAGTTTAGATCGTTTTGTCAACTGAATTCTGTATGTTGTGCTCAGTATGTCATAAAGCTCGAGGTCTGAGCTTTGTAAAGAGGTTCATTAGTATTTTTGCTGAAAAACGTGTGTATCATACAATCTACTCAGAAAGATAAAGATGATTGGAGGTTATAAGGTCACATGATGTAGAAACTACTGAATTTTAAGGCCTTTTACCTCCATATAGAGCATTGAAAGTATTTTACTGGAAACTGAAATAAAACTCTTCAGTGTATTCATGTATGTTTTTACCTTTCATGATGTAAGCTTAGGATGCACAGAAGTCAGAAATCTGAAAAATAAAGTCTGATCTTGTAGTTTCTGTAAGGAAGTGGTATGTTTAAGGCCCACGTCCAACTCCCAACCTGGGGATTACATGGACCTGGTCCAGTGATCCATTGGAGCACTTTTTCCCAACTAGAAAATGTGGACGAGCAGAGCTCTCAGAAACAATGTATATAAGATCCAGATGGGGACTTTGAATGTTAAAACAAAAGTAGCTTCCTCAACACTGCAGATGACTGCAGCCTGTCAAAGTACGCACTGAATAAAGGGGGGTACTTATTGGTACATTACAGTGTAAACATAGATGGACTCAAACTTGTGAGTTATTCTCTCTGCATTAGTGTGAGCTGTTTGATGACAGAGCAAGCAAAGAGAATACACGTCACAAATGGCGTGCTGCTTTTTGATGAGGAGCTGTTGTGACTTAATTAAGTGGCAGTGGCTATGATCTGCGAGATATACCAGCAACCTCTGCTACCACACACAGAGAGAACTTCGCTGAGAGAGCGGGACTAACTGAATACATTACATTAGGATAAGCACTCCCTCTCATGGTCAGAAGAAGAATAACAGATTGAACTGTAAGCCTGTTTTGACGTTAAGGATGCAGTGTGTTCTTGTGTTTTAAATCATCATCTTAAACCCATAATATGTCGGTTCCTCCAGGAAGATAATTTTAGTTTCCTGCGCAAAACGATGAGCCATAAGTCACTAAACTCACTTCCTGGTTTCTAATTGTGAAGATGCAGACCTCGCAGACGTGTTCACAACGCAAATGTCTCACATTTACCCCAAACAGTGTGATTTTATTCTCACTGGAACAAGTTGCCTTTGATTTTTCATGAATTATACAACAACAACAACAAAAACAAAAACAACAAAATTATCTCAATTATTTTTGCAATTACAATTACACCATCAGCCTGAATCTGTGACTTGTGACCTAACCGTACCCTAACCCTAACCCTAACTCTGGTCCAACAAAAAGAAAAAAACATAAAACTACTGTCCCTTCTCAAATCAAATTACAGAAGCCATGCCGGTTTCAGCTAACTAGTTGAAATTTAAAAATTCTTCCCTCTAAAACGTTACCCTAAAAGTCAAGCAACGTAATCTTTTGTTTGAACTAAAAATAAACCCTAGAAGAAAACCATTGTGTTGTGCTGCTGTTCATTCTTCTTCTGTCTGCTTTGATGAAAAGATATCTCTCTCTCTCTCTCACACACACACACACACACACACACACACACAGACACACACACACACACACACAGTATAATGAGGAAATGACAGACAGTGGTCCCATTATTGAGGAGCTGTTCACTCCAAAAATGGTTTCTTTGTGAACATGTCACACAGACACGGGTCAAATCGTTTTTGGATATATTAGAATTTCTGTCAAGGTGCCTTAGAAGTAGATGGAGGGTACACTGTTTTATCTGGATTACCCAAGTACAGAAGTCATTTATGTCTTTGATCACAGAAAACTACTAAAATTACTTTTCATTTTCACATTATTTTCTGAAGAACAAAACACATCCTATTAGTAATATCCAAATGCAAGGCTCATGTCAAAGTGGATTTATCACAATTCAACTTTAAGTAGTTTAAAATACATAAAATCCAGATTTTAACAACATGTGATATTGTTGACTTCCATATTTGTTTGTTCCAGTGCTTTAAATTAAATTTAATCCAACACAAACTATTTGTTGTTTGTTAAAGAACACACACACACACACACACACACACACACACACAACTCTGATCTGACATTGTTCCTTGCACTGCAATATAAAAACAATCCTGTGTCTTCCCATGGATCATCTATTAGTGAGGATACTGACTGTTTTACTGTAATATGAAGCTTTAGCCTCAGTCTTTTAGCATGATATCAGGTAGCTTTAAGGACCAGTGTGTAGGATTTAGTGGCATCTCGCCGTGAAGTTACAGATTGGAGCCAACTGAATACAGCTCGCCCTCTACCCGGACAGGAGAAACTACGGTGGCCTAAAAACTAATAGCCAATAGAGCCTCCTAAATGTTACACACTGGACCTTTAAGACACCTTCTTAAGATTCTCATTTTAAAAAGAGTTTTTGTGAAATAAATATCAAGAAGTTAACGTTTTCAACCAACCCGTGAAGCTAATATTAGCGTAATTAGCTGGCTAGCTACAGTTGATCAAATCTGCTGCCGATGTAATTTCAGCTGACGGACTCAACGGTCGCCAGCTAGAAATGAGAAGCATGTTTTGGTCAGTTTCTACCTAAATCAGGACTTTTTGTTTCTAAATGTAGGTTGACTAAGTCTAAAAGTCTTTTATCTTTTGTGGTAATTATGCCCCTGTCACCGTAAACTGCATGTGAGCTGTGCGACAATAGAAAGCTTGACAGGCGTAGTACGGGAGGGGGGCTGAGTTTAGCGGACAGAATTTCAAATGAAGTTCTGTTGGTTTCAACAAAGCCTGTCTGCACAACATGAGTTTGTAATGATGCCAGAGGGTCTGTGGGGTTAAAGAAGTTGATGTGTCACCCATTAATTACATGTCATTAGTCTGCAGGACATTTATTGATCACAAGGCCAACCACCCTGGATCCTGCCTCAAGTGCAACAGGCCTTCCATTAAGCTTCACATTACGCAAGCAGCCCACAAATGGTGAGGACACGGGGACCCGGTTTTGCTTTGTTGTCCCTGAATGGAGAAAATTAAAAGCAGAAATTGATTATTATTCACACTGTATTATATGTGTGTGTATATGTGTGTGTGTGTGTGTGTGTGTGTGTGTGTGTGTGTGTGTGTGTGTGTGTGTGAGTGAGTGAGTGTATATTGTGTTGTCTTTGCTTTTCTTTAATGTAGCTTTACATATATGTGTGTCCATGTGTTTTTTTCTCTTATGTTTGACATAGATTCAACACAGAATAAATACAATGTTAGAAAAAAGGATTCTGTTCAAGGTTATTTCATGACTGCTGACATATTTTGTAAGATATTCTGTGACAAGTGTGATGGATTTACCTCCAATGTAAAGTGTAGCCAGTGCTGTTGAGTACGAGGTGGATATGAAGGGGACGGCTTTCTGCTCAGACATGGAGTCCACCACTAGTTTGATAACTTCAAGTTGTTTGGACACTGGAGGACGATAACAGGAGAATCTGAAACTTAGAGCCACTCACGTATTGTCAAGTTTGTATAATGTTGTGTGCATGAGAAGTCGTACCTGTAACAACGTGAAATTTCCCATCACAGAAGCTTTTGTGAGGAGTCACTGAGACACTGACAGCACCACTACCATCGTTCACTTTGACCCCCACCTGGTAACAGGATGTTTTGGTCATTTAATGCAGTTTTTCTTTCTAATTGATGCCTTATCATTTGCCAGCATTCATTCTAATAGTGAAAGGTTTCACCTTGTTTTCCAGTAAGAACACACGCAGGCTTGTCTTGTGACTTTGAACATGGAAGAGAAGCCCTGTCAGGTGTTGAGGACGCACCTCAAAGTCCAACACAAACTGGGAGCCAACAGTGAGGTAATTATCTAGAACAGAAATATCCCTTATATATTAGATATGAGATCAGGGACATAAAACAATACATCAGAATCTATTACATTTATTAAACCTAAGATGATGTGACCGCCGCCAAAGTATGTCCCCCTCTCTGTGAGCCTATCAAAGCAGGGTAAGGTTTTGTGTCTTGCTTGAGGTTCCCCAATAACTTCCTCATTCATTTTAAAACTCCGAATACATCCAAGAACACTGTCCATGGGAATGTTGTGTCCCTGAGGGAGGACGAGGAGAGAAAAGAGAAGAGTGTGAATATGTAACCAACAAATGTGGGAAAATATGTGACATAGTTGTTAAATAAACAGTTAAAGAACGACTGAGGTGTGATACAGACTTTTGTGGTTTTGCTTGTCGGATCACCTCCCAGATATACAGGGTTGTGCAGGTCTAAAGACGATCCCTCATTGTTTGGCAGATGTCCATCAGTTACACGGACTCCATCAACCAGCAGATGAAAAGTGCTGTTCTCCACACTGAACTCAACCTACACACACAGAGAGAGAGAGAGAGAGAGAGAGAGAGAGAGAGAGACAACCAGTCTCACAAGTGTCTCAACATATTTCATTCTCCTAAAGACCTCAGTCTGACAGATTAGGTTAATATCACTGTGACCTAGAGGAAACTGAAAGGATACAACCACTGGCATGGGCATAGAAATATCATGAATACTAGTAATTGAGCGTTCACTAAACCTTCACAGTTTATCAAACATAACTAGACAGGAAGGCCTTCAAGCTTTGGAATTCTCAACACATTGAAGCAGTGTGTAAGGCTGCCAAAAGAATTTGGTGTATACATACAAGTTTAGTACTGGAAACGTCAACCCTGTGGGAGCCAAGGATTTATTATATCAGAGTTAATGGCTACAATAGCAGCTCTGTTCTGCTTTTTATTTGGTTTAAGAAAGTTTGCACTCCAGCATCCCAAGCCAACCTGCACTAGATAGCGTTGTGTTTGCCATATTCATAACTTGTATGCATGTAACTAGTAATAAAGCAAATAACCTGGAAACTTTTAAAAACTCAGACATTATAATACCAACTCAGAGTTCCAGCACTAGCATTAGCCAAACCTGAAATAATCTTCACGAGACAGGCGACAAAATCCACTAACTAGATATAAAAATCTGCTTTTGTTTGCTGTTGTATGTTTCAAATGGTAAATTTGCCAATGTTATCATTGTAAACATGCAGTATGGAAAGTTTGACATTCTTAGCAACAGTAACTAGGTGGGCGGGGCTTAGCAAATGGTCACTTACTCTGTGCCAGTGCCCGTCGTTGCTCTTCTGCTTGTGATGGATGATTCTGTTTCCCCCAAGTGACATCTCGATCTTGCCATTGGCCAAATACAGAGCCAGTAGGGGGACGACTCCTCTCCCTGCTACATGGAGGATCAGGCCTTTGGAGGAATTGGTCTTGATGTCAAGAGAGAAGTGAGGCCTGACACACAAGAGCAGAACAACAATGAAGTCTCTTTTACTATTAATATGAAATAATTAATAGATAGATACGAGGATGAATGGTTGACTTATTTAAGGTTTTCATTAGACAACCCAAAACGATAACGTTTCTGAACAACAATCACATAATTCCCACATCTTCAGGAAGGATAAGGTATTTTATTGTTTATGCACATTACCTATAATTAAGGTCCTTTTGTGGCAGGGTATAACTGAGCCAGCTGTGTTCCTCAGAGAGTTGGTATTCAACACGTTGTGCTCCCCGGTGTTTACACTGGCTGCCTGCTGGAGCCTGAATCTGACGCACAGCAGAGATATGACATGTATCACTATTTAATTATAAAACAAACAGGCAAATTACCATGGTACTGTTGAAATAATGGCTAATTGCGCTCACAGGTTTATGTTTCTGGGGCTTTTTCGTTACTGGTGCTGGTAAAACCTTGTTGTGTGGTGGTGGACGGAGACTGCACTGGCCAAGATCTCCCTTCAGTGAAAACAAGCTTAGATCGGCAGATATAAAGCTCTCCTCAGGCCTGTGTCGGATTAGATTTTTATAAAACATAAATTCATGTTATTGTAGGAGAAAGGGATACATATAATCTATTTGAGAACAGCTGTGGTATTAACAAAATAGATTTCTAATGTTCTCAAACCTCCTTGTATAAAGGTTAGCGATGCAGCCTGTGAAATTCCCTCGTTGCAAATTCTGATCCAGTGGCCTGCTATGGAGAGATTGTTCCTGAACCACCTTTACATTATCAATGTTGAGCTCCAACCTGAGAAAATCACGACAGGTTCAGTAATGTGCTGTTTTTAAATTTTAGTTAAAATAAAGCAATAATTGTGGACAAAAGGAGGACAGATTACCCTGTTGCATTCCTTACTGCAGACAAGAAGTGCCAGCTTCCATCATTATACCTTTTATCTGACCTTAAGGTATAATTATCACTATTAAATACTGCATAGCCATCAGCCAGGGACAGCTGGAGGTCGTGGACTGAGGTGGATCCCTGCAGAAGATCAGATCAAATTTATAGAGTCATCTTGAGTCTTGAGTCTTTAGTTTTGGATTAAGATGGATGTGAGGCATGCAGAGTTTACCTGAGAGCTACTCCTGAGAAGAGTACCATGTCTGTCTGTGCTCCTGAAGGCCAGAGAGACTCTGAGTGGCTGCTCACTCCAAACAAACAGGGAATCCACAGACAGAGCTGAGTACAACGTAGCTTCACGGACACCCTACAAAAGCCAGAAACACACTAGTGTTAGAAGTCTTGGTTAAAGTCTATTTTCTCAGTTCCTCACTTTAAAGCGAAACCTTGGCTGACTCTTGACAGAAGAAATTTCACATTCTTTCTTTTATGACCAGCTTCTGTTCTTAAAGTTTTAATGATAAGTAAAGAATAAACACACTTTTCCCAGGGGTATTGCTGCAACAGTTCTTTTGCTCTATGAGCAGTAGCATTTATAGATGCTCATGATAGCGAACATTAATCATGGTTCCCACCGGTCCTTGGAATCCTTGAAAAGTTTGTGAATTTGAGGGGGGCGGGGGGGGGGGATTAAGGTCATTGAAAGGGCTTGAATTTTTAATTTTTTGTGCATGAATAGAAATATACTAGATACTTTTCTTATTATTAACTATTAATATTATTTAATGAGGATATTTTACGGTCTTTTTAATTGTTGTCTGTGTAAAGCCTGCTAGTTTAAAAAAACTGATCAGTGTTGTAACATCAATTAACTTTGATTTGGGTCCTTAAATTTGAGGGAATTGATCATGGAAAGTCCTTTAAAAAAATCATTAAATTTGATGTTTAAGAAGGTGTGGGAACCCTGTTAGCTAATTTAAGTCAATATAACTGATATTAAAATTCAGTTCACTGATAACTCCTCTCTAAACAGTGTTTTAACATTCTCCATTATCTTGTCAGTCACATAGGTCTCTATTTAACTAAAGTGTCATGTTAAAAAGAATTTGGTATATTTTAAGGTTGTGTTCAGTCATATGTATGAAACTTAGAGCAGCCATGTTTCTTTTTTCAGTTTACCAGTAGAGAGACTGGACATCCATCACTGACACCAATCGTCCTGTTGTACTCAACGATCTCAGAATTTACTGTCAGGCGATCCACACATCCTCTCAGTGGCGGAGCTGTGATGTTGTGTCTAAGATTCAACAGACAGAAAACTGTACAAAATGCTCATCTGAGGAGCTAAAAGCTGTACATACTGTTGTGTCTGTTTTATTACCTCTGTCTGAGCAGTGCTGGTAGACCCCCAATGTAATAACTCATGTAGTTTGTTTGATTGTGATCTGTGGAGATCTTCTTTTGTCCATAGTGCACAACAAACGTGTCTGCCATAATGATTGCAAAGCTTTTGTTCTGAGACAGGACACATACATTTAGAAGAAATCTTTTTCCATAATTTTAGTTTATAAATGGAACAAAAAAGTTTGCTCTGTTTGATAATTAAGTTGCTTATATTAGATCATCTTACAAATAGAGACACTTTTTCAGCACTCTGAAGTCTGAGCTCTCGACCTGTTTGCTGTCCTTGAAGCACCAGGAAGCCTCTCTCCACCAGCACACAGAAAAAAGACTCCTGTAACAGATAAAACACAACAGTTATCATGTTTTGTACCTCTGTTTTTACTGATAATGTTTCATTTTCTAGCATAAAGTTGTTAACAGTCAGTGTTTTACTAGTACTTCTGGGAAACATCGTACTTCATTTCCAATGTAAAACAACAAGGCGTTTGTCTCTCGACTTTTTATGTAAAACTTGAAAAGTCTTCTCTTTATCTTGTCCGGCTCCTTCATTAACGCCATGCGGTAACCTGTTCCATCATAATAATTAGACACCTCTGACCTAGGAATCCTAAACAAATAAGGAAAGAGTTAATCACTATTGACCATTTCTACTTATTTTAACCACAGACCCCTGTATATTGTAACTGTGTGAAACATTTTCTTACTTCAGAGCAGGCTGCTTTGCATCCATATTGACTGCATGCTTGTAGTTGAACAGACAAACAGGGTTGTCATTTAGGTAAGAGAGTTGCATTGCTCCTCTGTATTTGGGGTAACGCAGCTCCACTGGAGGCTAGAAGAAGCAAAAGAGAAAGGACTTAAAATGCCAACAGGTCACAAATGGCTCTGTTCATTCAACATATTTTTATTAAACTGGATAACCATATTTTCCTGTGCAGTGGGTCAATGATTGCTCAGATTTCTGGTTCATCTGTGGTTGTCCAAACTAATTTATGGCCCATAACCTCTTATAAAATCTGAATGCTCATAGGTATTTCAACTCACCCTCCTCCTCAATGTATTCCCATAAAATGATGTTAGAAGACTTTTTCAGCTACTTCATACTTATCTAATGGATCTGTTGGACCTGTGACTTTATAGTTTGTGTCATATATGGAAGCTTTTTTCAGTGAAGTCAGGCTTGTTAACCGGGTTAGGGCTTGGGATTTTTGATGTTGGATCTTGTGGATGTGTTGTAGGCTACTCTTTCTGTCTCTACCAGTGTGACAATTCAAGGTCCAGTGTGTAGGATTTAGTGGTGAAGTTGCAGATTGCAACTAACTGAACACTGCTTGGGTCAGTATTTGATGACCTCGGCTGTGAAGTGTGTAGGAGAAACTATGGTGGCCACAAAAAACGCCCTATGACGGCCCTATTTACTGCCAGTTTTTGGTTTGTCCATTCTGGGCTACTGTAGAAACATGTTTAACATGGCGGACTCTGTGGAAGGCAACCCTTGGTGTCTGCAGATAAATGGCTCATTCTAAAGTAACGAAAAAACAAGTTTCCTATATTCAGGTGATTATACACTTATACACCTATAAATATTATATTCCATTTCTGCCAATAAATCCTAAATGTTACACACCTTTAAATAAATGCACGTATGAGGAAATAACAGCAGTGACTGGTTACCGTAAAGTTGTCAGGATAGCCGCCCACATAGATAACAACGCTGTCTGGATTCAGTTCAAGCATGCCAGTCAGCGAGTTTGGAAGGTTACGTTTAGGAGAGAGACCAATGGGCTTCTGTGATGTGAAGTTCTGCGTGACGTTAACTTCAGCATCTTGGTATACTCTGCAGAAATTGTTGACACACAGAGATAATTGTTGTAAATATAGCTATAATTTCTTAGTGTGTTGTTTTTTTTACCTTTTTTTATTTACTTTTTTATGTGTCCTTGAGTTTCTTGAAAAGCGCTCCATAAATGAAATGTATTATTATTATTATTATTATTATTATTATTATTATTATTATTATTATTATTATTACATTACACTTTGTGGAAGAGGAAACTTTAAGTGTAGTACTTTCTCATATAACATTTCGATACTTCTATGTAGTGTACCTGTGGAAGATGACCCTGTCAAAGTCTGAGGAGTTTACATTGGTAGTTGTGGTTATTTGGCTTGTTTCCACCTCATGGACAACTCCACCCAACTTGTAGACACAAATCAACACATTGTTTCTGATAGCCATCCCAATGTAGTCTCCAGAAGGCTGCATGACAGACAAATAAATATAATGGTTATCTGTCACTCAAATCACAAAATCGCTGATCTTCCTGAGGCACTGCACTCACATCCTTGTTGCCCAGGAAGAAAACAAAGAAGCTGGCATCTCTGCGTTTTTCCTGGCGTCGCTTACGTCTGTAGTCGGCCTTGGAGGGATTGTGTTGATGACGATTGAGAAGTAGATCAACAGCTGTAAACGCTTTTATTTCTTCAAGGTTTCTCGGAGGATGAAGTTCCACGTGACCCTTTCCATTGAAAGTGGTAGCAACTGAGAGCTGTGAGAAGATCAGTCGAGGTAGAAAGGGTTGGGGTAAATATGCATTCATGGTAAAGATCTTTTGTTGTGTTTGTTTGTTAAACCTGCAATAATTGATTTTGATTAGAGCTGATATCTTATCACCCTTTAAATTGATGTGGTAAACTTAGTGGCTTATTTATAGAGATTCCAGTATGGAGCAACCTTAGCATTCATTTGAAGTTGTATAGGAAATGTTAAATCCAATATTTACTCTCTTTTAGCTCTGTTTTGGTCTTTAACAACTCCTGTGAATTATCTGCCTCTTTAGCCATTTGGTGCTGGGCAGGCAATGTACAGTGGGTATTTAGAGCAGAAAGATGCTCTTAAGCTCTGTAAAGCTGAAAGGAACCACAGAATCAGGTGATAAGTCTCTGTAGGGTAATTCGATCCATTGTAAATAAGAAATATTGATTAGAGCAGCTTTAAATCAAAGTTGGCAGAGAAGACGTTTTAAAGGAACACTTTACCTTATTAACATAGTTTCTTGTCTCCTCTATCATATCCTTGATTCTCCTGATGCTTTCTGTCATGTTGGCACTAGGAGGCGCCTTCCCACTGAGAGCCTCAACTTGTGTGATTGTGTCGTTCAACACAGGGAGAACTGTGTTTAAGTTCTTCACTGAAACAGACACAGAAAGCAAACCATAAAACCATATAACTATAAAATGATCATATTCCAGCTCTAAGGTGACTTTCAATCAATTTAAAAAGTCTAAAAGCACTTAAAGAAGTTGTCTACCATTAATACTCACATGCCTGTTCTGCCTCAATCAATATATCATCTATATTCACACTGACATTTGTTAAAGTTATTCTCTCCACTTCCTGGCTGACATTACTCAGTCTCTCCATTATATTGCTGACTGTGGAGTTAGAGGCAGAGGCAGCTGTTTTTGCAGACTCTATCAGGACTTCTGTGTCATCTGAAATCAAAAAGACAGTATGACGCAGGTACAGTGCATAATCTGCCATTCATGTCTCCTCGTACAAATTTAATGTGACCCACCAACCTCTTGTGATCTTTCTGATTTCATCGCTGACGATTAAGATGTCTATCGTCAGTGATTCTCCTTTGTCCTTTTGCTTATTCACATTGTCTTTGTGGGTGTTCACTGAATGCAACAGCACTGTTCAAAAGAAATTGTGAAGCTTGTCACTTTTTGCGCATCCATAACCAATAAAATGTATCTGACTTTTAACAAATTATGTTATAAACTTCACACACATTTAAGGTCACTCTGAGTCTCGTTGGCTTCTGTCCATAAATGAGTTGAATTATCTTTGAGTCCTTCGGCTCTGTTGACCAGACCTCCATCTTTCAAGTCCTAATTTATTGTAACAGAATCATATTAATATTTTTGATAAGCATTACTTAACATTCAGGGTTTCATTAAGCATTACTAATAGCACCTCAGTTACCTTTAAGGCTTGATCAGCCGCCTCTCTGGACTGATTTGCTGCCATCTCTGCCTTTTCTATGGAAGTTATGATGCTGTTATAAGCTCCTATACCCAGGACACTGAGCAGGTCCGTACTGTTATGAAGCACTCTGCAATAACATATAGCATGTTGTATTAATGTCAACATAAACACAGTTGGATTTAGTGTTTAATTCTGTTAATCTGTCCACTTTCTCCTCTGGCTCACACTTACTGAAACTCTGCTGCCACTCTGTTGAGCTCCTCTGCATGCTCCTCAGCCTTGGTTACGATATCCATCTTTGCCATAATTTGGACGAGGTTGTTTAACTTCTCAAAGAGCTGCAGCTTGGCACCATCTAGCTGAGCTGCATGATTCTCAAATTCCTGCAATTTACACATAATAAACTCAGTTTGCACACTCACTGTCTCGCGGAATTACGGTGGTAAAAGATGCCTGCTTACTTTTTTAATCTCCTCAAGCATTAGAAAGATGTCTGTAATGTTCTTCAGCAGATCTTTAGTCATTGCAGTCAGTGGAAGAAGTGCACTTTGTTCTCTCTCCAGCTGAGTTTGAAGGTGCTGCAGCAAATGATGAACAGAGACAGATGAACATGACACTGCAGAGTGTCCTATTGTACAGAAAAGAAATGTTTGATGTGTGTACACATCACCTCCAGATGTTGTAGCGTAGTTATACTTTTTAGGTTCAGGCCCTGTGTCCTGTTGACTGTGTCCTCTGCGTCTGACAGCAGCTCAGCCACTTCCCTCAGAGAAGAGTCTGACTTCATCAGAGAGTCTGCAGTCTGATTTAATACAGTCTGGTTGGTTTCCACAGGAACTGTCATGTTCCTGATAATGTCCAACACTGAGGGAACACAGTCATAATTACTGGATATCAGCCAGTGTGTTTCTCAACAACCAAAAATATTACTTTTTAAAGGTCCAGTGTGTAGGAATTAGTGGCATCTAGCTGTGTAGTTGCTGATTGCAACACCCTTGTGTTGCAGTGGCCATTAAACACCCGAAAAATGCGTACACCTCTATGTAGAGCCAGTGTTTTGTTTGTCCAGAAACATGGCTTTTCAACATGAGGACCCACTCCTTCTGTAGATAAAAACATCTCATTCTAGGTTAACAAAAACAGAATTCGATTCAATGGTGAATTCCTGTTGCTCACCATTAACAAATGTTCAAGTCACTACAACTTTATGTAATTAGTTCACACTAGAGCAAAATCTGCTCTCATAGAAATATGAAGCTAAAATCAAACTGGTCATGCACATGTTTACATAATAAATATAAATGCATTTCAAAAAGGAAAAATAAACTTTGTTACTGAAATCCAGCTAACTGCTAACTCGCTTGTACCCTTATTATAAAGTGTCACTGTGTAGGGACATGAGATTGGTATTGATCTTCTCATCTAACTCTCAAAAGAAAGTAAATACATGTATTTTCCCACATGTCAAGCTAGATCTAGATCTGGGAGTTCAAAGTTTTTCTTTTTAAATTACTATTATTCTCCTGCATTAAGTGCCGGTGAGAAAGTTATTTCTTTTTGTTGTTAATCAAACCCAGAACAGTAGTGTTAAACCAACCATTTTGTTTCAGTGGTTTCAGCTTCAGAAGTTGGAGAGTTGTGAATTGTTCAAAGTGGCCTGACCTTTGGGCTTTCTACTTTACATCACTGTGAATGCGGAGCCAAACATCAGAGCAACCGCCTCTGCTCTGTATTGTATCCATAAACTGAGCATAGTCTGTATGCCGAAAAGCAACCCATTAATAGACTGAATCTCACATGTGTGTGCCTCCTCCTGCTCGCTGCCAGCTTTGTCTCTCTGATAAGACCAGCCTCTTGCTCTCATTTCCTGCACAATGTGTATGGCCACCTCCATCATCCTGGCTTTGTTGTTTTCAGAGAGAGTCTCTGAATCTCCAGGTTTCACCTCAGTTAGCCGCTTTTTCAAATCTGAAAAACCACAATAACAGAGACACTGCTGTGAATGATACGTCTGAGGCTCACTTTGTCTCACTCTTCCTTAACAAGTCTCAGACAGGAGAGGCAGGACTGGTCTGCTGGTCATAGCCCAACGAAGATGATTAAGTTAAGGATACTAACATAATTATATCTATACATCTATATCTTTTATATGTATGTCTGCGATATTCTGGTGATATTATTGCTGTTAAGGTAACTCTCTTTTTTAGATTTCTTTACATTTTGAGGAGACTAACAGGACAGCGATGTTATGTCGTGGCAATGTACACACATATATTAACGCAATATACCTTGTATTGCTGCGTTGAGAACTTCAGCTTCAGAGAGAAGATCCTCTGTCTTTAATTTTGTTCCAGTCACATTCTGCAAGACTTTCTCCAGATGTGACACAGTGTCAAGTGTCTGGAAAGTTAAAAATAATTTTAAAAATTGTTTCAGGGTTTCTTATGTGTATTCAGATCAATGCATGTGCATTCACTGTTCACACTCTGCACTAAAAAGAAGAGAAGGAATTCATAAAACTCAGCAGTTCGTCACTTTCTGATGTTTTTATGTGTAGTTTATGAAAATACCTCCTGCAGTTTTCAAACAATAATTCACATTTACAATTTAGTAAAGTGACAATTATCCTACTAAACTCCCGATTGTGTTTCAGTTTGATTAACTGAAGAAAATTCACTCCAGGTACCTTGTCAATCAGTTGACTCAAATCATCTCTGACAACATCCACATCTGCTTCCAGCTGTTCCACCTTTGGATCCAGGTGTCTCACAGCAGTGCTGTACCTCCCACTCTGAATCTGCAAAACAGGGGAGGTGAGAAATCTCTGAACACAGAGAAACATTGTTGAGTGGTACAAATATAACAGAAGTTGGGATCTTTTTCTTTTGGCAAACTCGAAAATGTTTTAAAGGACAGTTACACACACAGATACATAAAACCTGCATGAACTGCACCTTGGTTTCGGAGATGTTAGCCTCCAGGTGGTTCAGCCTGGAGAGTGAACCAGGACCATTAGCGATGTTCTGCAGCTGCTGCTTCAGCCAAGCCAGAGCATCGTCCATATTTTCCAACTCGACCAGTAAAGCGAGATTGCAGCTGTCGCATTCTGTCAGTAAATACAAGGGGAGGATTTTATGGGTAACTCTAACTACAATCAAAACATGATTATAAGATGAATTTTTAATGCAAACTCACCATGGCACTGATCATCACAGCTGCTGCAACCAGATGTGATGCACTCTATTAAAAGGAAGGGATATTAAAGTAAATCTCAATACATTAAGATCAGTTTACTAGTCATGAGCAGTATTTCCTACTTTTAAATGTCTTCTGTGGTTCTGAGGTCTGAGAAAATAGTCCCAGCTCCATCAGGAGTTATTTTCTCAGCTCAGACTGGAGGACTACAGATTTATACTAGAAAGAACGAGTTTCAAATTGTCTGCAGTTAATATGGGTATTTATCAGGCAGAAAGCATCAGACAAAAGAGACACTATTGGTTGCATTGTGGGAAATGTAGGCTTTGTTTTTTGACTGTGACCCATACTAGAGACCAAAGGTCAGGATATCTCTCTAACTTTGATTTTGGACATCCTTTATTAAAATCTCTTATCTTCACTTCTCTTGTGAGTCCTTCAACTTTATGGGAATCCAGTAGTAAATCACATGCTCCTTCAAAACATAGTGACTATAAGAATATTCAGTGTATGAGAGAACTGATGGTTATGAATTGTCTACAGTATTTAAACTTTATGTCTGTGTATTAGTGTGAAAATGTATGTTTACCTCCAGTCTGAGAATCACAAATGTTCATGGTGCCATCCTTGCAATTGCAGGGCATGCAGCTGCCTCTATGCACCATTGGATTACCATAGTAACCAAACGCACATCTTAATAAAGTGAGGAAAAACAAGAGGAAAAGGCTGCCATTGAGCTTTGATTATATTTATTGTCACACCTACATGCAAATATAATTATATAATTATAATAATATAATTGTCCACTGCTAATTTACATGAGCAGTGGACAATAGGGATTAGGATGCAATGTTTTGGTACACTGATAATAATCTAGAAATGTAAATGATGCTTTGGTTATGTGTCACTTCTTAAAGAGCAGACGTACCTCTCACATCTGGCTCCATTGTAACCACGTTTACATAAGCATTCAACCACTCCTGAGCCGATGTCCAGACAGGCCAATGCAAAGCTACAGAGAGAAGGAATAATATCTTCATACTGATGCAGAGCAAAAATCAGTTGAGTTTGGCTGAGCTGGGTAAGAAAAGGAAACTGACTTGTTCCATGTAAAGGGGCATGGACAGGCCTGGCAGGCCCTGTTGGCTGTGTTTCCATAGTAACCCTCTTTACACCGTTCACAGCGGTCCCCGGTGGCATTAAATTGACAGTTCTGGAGGTCAGTTAGATGAAACACAACAATGAACAACATGTTTTTCGTCTAGTTTGGCCTACACATGCTACAAGCTTTAAGTGTATTGTAAATCAGCCATTGAACATGTGCCATTGAGTGTGTATGTGTATGTGTATGTGTATGTGTATGTGTATGTGTGTGTGTGAACACCAACCACACAGTTCCCTGTATGCTCATCACACTCATTGGACAGTCCATTGCAGCTACATGGCACACACTGACCTCTGTATGGTCCTGCCTGCTCTCTGTAGAAGCCAGAGCTGCACTTCTGTAGACACAGAGAGCTTAACAGTCGACTGTGGGATAATTAACAGAAGCAAACACTCCAACTCCACTGACCTGCTTAGGTGAAAACTATTATCACTAAGTAATCACGCTGCAAAGTGATTAACTGCAAGAGAATGCAAATTTAATCTTCATAACATACAGTATCAGATGGATTTGTAACAAAGGAAATACACTGGTCTGAGGTATAAATCAGGGTGTGACATGGAGACACAGAGAAACATGAAGAAAATACGCTTCTAAGTAAGATTTAGCTGTAAAAAGACTTTTTTATTCCTGAGCCAAAATTAAATGCATGTCTGTATAGCTTTATCAGAACAAGTGTAACAATAAATGACCCTGCTACACACCAGAGAATGTGCTGTAATCTCACTGACAAAAACCCAACAAAGAGCTGCCTTACCTGAGTGATAGCACCTGCTGTCTGGTTGCTGAAGGAAGGATCACAGAACTTTTTCGTTCCCTGTGTCTCCTTATGGATCTGACTGTGTCTGTCATGCCTACCATTTGAATGTTTCTCAGTACAGGGATAAACTGCAGCAAAGCAAAGCAAAAACAACCACACCACAGTGCAAAGCAAATATATATTCCGCTGCATTATGAGCTATTCAGAAAGCCATGTGAGTCCAGCAGTGAAAAGCCTTTCTCTCTAAGAAAGCTCCTCCTCCTCCTCCTCACAGGTAAACCCTGGAGCAGGTGAACCTTGGAGCTTTTTATGTGAGACACATGAAGAAAGGCTGGCTGGTGAGAAACAGTAAGTGTGGATGAATGTAAGCCAGCACACAGTTAGGTTCAAGGTTCAGTGAGGTGTGGTTGAACTTGCAGACATTAAGGTCTTTATGAGGCAGTGGAGCATGTATGTGAACTGTGTTTGCTTAAACAATGCAACGTGCAGAGACAAACACACTTAGAACAAAATGGTTCACTTTATTATCAGTCAGTCCAGAAATTAAGACAATCCAGTTGATGCACTAAGTAATTGATACAATATTGTTTATAATGGTAGAAAAATATGAAAGAATATGCCACTGAAAAAACTGAAACATTTATTTGCATTGAAAATATCAAGCACCATTTTATTTGTTCTGTCTCAAACTGATTCACGTTGAGGCCTGAAACACTGATTCCACCAGGGTCAGATTTTTAATTTGCATGGTTTGTGTCCCCCACCAACACCACCCCTTCATACCTTCACCACTCCTTCATCCCTCCCCCTCTCAATATGTCATTATCAATATTTCAGTTTTCAGTACAACAGTGTTACTGTAACAAAAGAGTTTTGCAGTCTGAAGATATAACATTACGGTTAAAAACAAACAGTGAAATTCACAACCAGGGCACCCTGATTTACTTAAAATGTACTTGCATAATAATAATCAATAATTATAACACATTGTTCAAGCAAGACTGTGTCACTTGTGGTGACAGTTAAAGGATCAGTGTGTAGGATTTAGTGGCATCTAGTGGTGAAGTTTCAGATTGAAACTAACTGGACACCGGTGGTGTCTCTCGTTGATGACCTGTGAACAGCGAAGTGTGTGGAGAAACTATGGTGGTCGAGAAACTCAAGAAAAAGTGAAATCTCTATTTACAGCCAGTGTTACACTAAACGTACCTTGAATATTATATTGCATTTCTGATAAGAGATCCTCCTAAATGTTACATACAGCTAAATTAATCCTCATGTCTTTGCAAAATATTTGGCAGGCTCCCTAGCTCTCTATTCCCTCAGAGGTCAGGACGGCTAGCTACTGGTTAAGTGCACAAATTCGCCGGTTTACCAAAGTTAAACTCAATATTTGTGCAGATTTACTGTGTCCCAGTGAGCAAATCTGATAATTATGCCGTTTTCAATGCTGGTGTGACAGGGCTTTTAGGGGGTGATGCTAAATGCTGACAGTTTTAGCTAAAATGCTAAGCTACTGTAACACAAGTAGCACAAGTGGAGAAGAGTAGTAGTAGAACACGTCTGTTATACACTACAGTAAGTCTGCTAACATTAACCAAAATTAGCCACCGTAAGCTACTGGTCATACTGGATCTAGAAAGGCTGTGGTATCAAAATAAAAAAAAAAAAGTTTTTCAATCTTGCATTTAAAAATTAAGGATTATGTTACTTTTGTACAAAGTTACATTGTCTCACTTTGATTTTTCAAATTGAAGTTTTTCATATTTTGTGAGTTTGACCAATTAATGAAATGTTTGGAAGGCCAATTGAATCAATCTGGCCACATAGGCTGGTCTGTCTACTACGTCCCTGAGAGAAGCAATGTGTTCACTGTAAAAGGCTTATATGAGTCTTGAGTCTTTGCACACAACATTATCTACAGTGTCAGAAAGATTCAGCAGAAAGTTCAGAAAATAAGGATGACAGGAGTGCTTAAGAGACAAAATGAGCAATGACTGATGTTGTTTGAAACCCACTGACAGTCCAGTGTAAGAGTTTAGCATTAACACTCAACTGAGCCATCTTATTAGAATCATAGAATAGGGTACAAAGCATAGCTTGCAATGCCACAAGTGTTTCTGCCATCTCGAATGATTCGCATGTAGCCACCTTCACCCCAACTGGTACCCCAACTAAAGAGAGAAAAAACAGCTTATTCAAACAAAATACAAAAAATATTTGTAAACATTTGCTATTGTATATGGAGAGGCTTTTTTCTGACCTGTTTTTGATGATCCAGTAGTCTTGACCTCCTTCAGAGCCGTAGCCAACCAGCAGCACCGCATGACTCAGATTATTAGGGTTGCAGCTGGGCTCATCGTATATCCCTGTAAAGGAAGTTGCAACCTGCATTAACTGATTGTTTGGTCACTTGGGAGCAGAATAAGCCAGTTGTAAAATTGACGTATTATCAGTTTTCAAGTAAAATAGTTGCAAACTTACGTACACATTCAGCAGATATAAAGCAACATTCATTATGAGTCATGTGTCCACCTGTTGATCTGTTTTGGTCTCTACCATCTCCTAAGAGAAATATCCGGCTCTTTAACTGCTAAATGCTCCACTATGTTCACCAGCTAGTTACTAACTTTGTCTGTCATTTGGTGCTGGGCAGGTAGACTACAGTGGGTTTATCAGAAACACTTTACTGTAAAAAAGGCTGCTGCTGGACCAAAATAGTGAGTTAAGAGATGCTACAGAACTCAGTAGAGCTGAGGGGAATCAGCTGATGTTTGTAACTACAATCAATATTTTTCACATAGCCATAGAAATTATATTCCATTGTCAGTATGAAAATATTGATTATAGCGGCTTTAAAAGAGAGTCTTTTAATCGCTGACATAGCGATTGTATAGAGGGAGTCTTTTAAGGTTACTAACCTGAGCTGTAGAACAGGAAGCTTGCATGATCTGCATCAATGGCTACTGTGATTGGCCCGATAGTTGCCACGGCATCAGCCAGGGCCTGCTCATCTCCTTTGGGTATGAACCTGTAGTCTTTGATATGGGCAACTGCAAGTCTGCTGTCGTAGTAACAAGGCTGGGTGTCCTGTTGAGAGAAATACGGAGTTTAAAGTTAATGGTAGGCTGGACACAGAGTAATGAACTGTTTTAAGTGTTTTGAGAGAGGTGGAGCCAGCAGGTTGAGCCTCACCACTGAGGTGTATGGGTAGGTGCTTGTCGACTGTAGCCCGTTGCTGACCACGTAGTCGTAGGCGTTGGCCATCCAGGCACCATTGCAGCCATAGGTACCGTAAGATTTGGAGCAGTCCACCAGGTTTTGTTCACTCAGAGATACAAGCTGACCCGTCCTCTTGTATATTTGTCCCTCGATAGCTCCTGTGGTGCTGAAGGCCCAGCACGAGCCACAGTAACCCTGTGAAGAACATTTAAAACACAGTGGATTTGAAGGTGTACGTGATTCAGTCTGGATAAAACCCACTCAAAGTGAATTTAGGAATGTCTTACCTGGTCTTTCACCTCAGTGACATAACCCATGTTCCTGTAGTCCACAACCCAAGCATCTAACTTCTTAGCAACGTTACGCAGCCTTCGGGACGAGACGATCCTCCCTCTCTTCGCAAATTGGGCGTCTATCCTGGCACCTTGCAAAACCTGATATTCTTGTCTTGTCTACACGTGGAGAACATAAAGAAGATTGTTTCCCAATAATTCATGTTATTGATATCTACAATATGGCAAATCAGTTAATCAAAACAACATACCTTATTTCAGCCGCGTGAACTCAAGTCACATGGCTTGGACTCAAGTCAAACTCAAGTCAGACTTGAATTGACAGAATTAAAAAGACTTCCAAATTGACTTAGACTTTAATCACTTGAACTTGAGCCTTTTAACTTGAAAATACTTGATACCTTCTCCCAAGTCCAAAGATTAAATATGTTATTTAAAAAGCTGAAAAAGCTATTAATTTTCCAGCAAGTGTACACTTCCAGATCCACTTTGTTTGAGCCGATCCGTCATGAAAAAATAGATCATTTTGTTTCGTTCATTCTGTTGTTAAAATGATGTAACATTTGGTGAAGAGCACATTATGACTCTTTAGGACTCATTTTTGAACTTGAGTGCAATGGCTCATTGAACGATTGATTGATACCAATATTGTGTCTGTTCGGTAAATATCTGGAGCCAGGAGACCTTTGGCTTAGCTTAGCAGAATCACAGGAAACAGGGGGAAAAACCTCACCTGTCTCTTTACAAAGGTAACAAAATCCAACTACCAGCATCTCTAAAAGTCACATTATTTATCAATATTATTTAAAACAAAAAATGGCAATTTATGGTTTTGGACTATTTCGTTGAAATGCAGCTTTGTGTGACTCTAAGTTGAGATTGTACGTAGTTACGTTTTTAGCATAGTTACGTTTTTAGCATAGAGATGAAAACACTACTCCTTACCAGATCTCCATATTTATTCATGACCATACTGAAGGGCCTCATCCCCATAAAAAACCCTTGATTGTTGTCTTCAATCTTCCGCTTGTTGTCCTCCCAGATGACCCTCCTTTGCATGTCGTCCTGCATAATAACACAAAATACATCACAGAAAGATTCAGGTGGATCAGAGCATATATCCACTTACTGTCATTGCTTGTATTTTAGATATGGAGTCAGTCTCACCATTTCATCGTAGGCTATGCCATGGCTGCTCTTCCAGATCTCCCACTCAGTCAGGATCGCCTCATCTGAGTCTGACGCTACGTGCTGTGGGCCACACAGCACAACAAAGAGCAGAACTGCTCTCAGCAGGAGGCTGACCTGCTGCACTACAGGGACAAGAACATCACATAAGAGTCAAACCTCTTGTTTGTACCTGCTTAAAAAATGTGTTATTATCACAGCTTGTTAATTGTCATTCACAGCTAAATCAGTAGCATAAGTATTGGGACACTTTGAATTGTTGGTTTTGTTATTAAATACAATTTAGGTCATCTGGTCAGTATGTTCTGGTTAATGACATCTTTGTTGTTTGAATCATCAGAGAGACTCCTGTTACTTACTGTGCCTGAGTTGAGCATATCAGAGGACTAACTCATTTCAAGTTACAGTTGTGTAGTGTTTGTGAAGTCATTTTATACAGGGTGGCAGCAAGTCTTCTGACTCATATCACTGCTACATTTTCATATCTTCCTTTGAAAAGCTTGAGTCCAAAATGTGCCATTTAAGCTAATCACCTGCACCAGAACTTCTAAAATAAACTGTGCTCTTGTAGAGTAAAGAAATAAGACAGTAACTTCCTTCTGTAAAAATGGAGGATGATACTGAATTTGTTCTCTTGTGGACCTCTTTAGAAAACCTCATTTGTAAAAACCTCACTAAAATGTAATCTGATGTAAAAAGATACAATATGTCTCATAAATGAGACATCTATCAATCCATCATGATTTAGGACTATATGATATCAATGGATGACACAAACTCTTCAGTGTTCCAATACTTTAATTTAACTTTGCAGAGGTTATTCTGTTCACCTTCAGTGAAACAACGAGGGTGTTTTTTGAACCTAAAAGACAAAATATTATATACTCAGAAGCATTAACATCTATAGACATCTGACATTTAATAAAACTGACCAATGTGTCTTTAAAATAAAAGATTCACTTTCAGGTTTCTGTTGCTTTGTCAAAACGGCACTTAATTTGAAATAAAAATCTGTAGCCTGCTTACCTGCATGTATGTGAGTCTGTTTTGTTCCCATGGTGTGAGAGTGACTCTGGACAGCCACACTGCAACAGACTCACTGTCAACTATCCGTATATATAGCCTTGCAACAAGTACATGTTTCCACTATACTTTACTGAATCCCTAAATCAACACTTACGGCAGCACCTGAGAGGGACATTAGTCAACAAAAATAAGATGCTTTCCCTGCTCCTCCTCAGTAATACCTCTATTATCATTTAGAGAGAGCTAAAGCTGCAATATCGTAAATCCTTCAAATACCGGTTTATAATTGACTGTAACACCTGACATCAGATTTTCCAAAACCAGCGGTGCAACGAGTATACAGATTATCCACAAAGTGCCAGTACATTCATGTAAAAATACTTCATTAAAAGTGAAAGTCCTGCATTCAAAATCCTACAAAAGTACAGAAGTATAAGTATAATGCAGAAAGGTGGCTCCGGTGAATGATATATTGTTATAATGACAGAATAAGATTATTAATACTGATGCATCACCGTGTAACCAGAATTTCACCATTGTAGCTGGTCGAGATGACAAAATAAATGAGGGATCATCCGACACATTTGTATTAATTTTCTGTAATATTTGCTTTTTAAAATAGATCTGTGGGAAGTGAGATGATTGATGGTGCAGAAAATAAGAAAACTCAAATTTACAAAAATTGGTATTCTCTTTTTAACTTTTCTCTGATCTTTCTACTTACGTTAATTAATTGAAATCATCAGGGAAGTTTAGAGGTGTAAGTCACTCTGTAAGAACTGCTGATAACTCAATATGGTGTTAAAGATACAGAAATCAGAAATGTGACAAGGGGCCCCAGTTAGACACTGTAAAGGGACTCGTTTAAAGATCCTCTCCAGACATGTTTTGTCTGTTTGTTTGTTTTTTTCAGAACTTTATTTTTCATTTTTAAAATAACAACATATACAATATACAAGACATGAAAGACAAACATTTCCAAGGCTGGCAATTGTAACAATAGTCACAGTAAGTACTATATTTACTACCGAAAAAAAAGAGGAAATATGTAAATGTAAATACACACACAAAATAAACAATAATAATAAATAAATAATAATAGTAATAACTAAATAAATATATAAAATAACTAAGGGGGGTTCCTCCAGTTAAAAGTTAAAAATTAGCAGGCTGATGACTGGGTGGGGGTAATCTCAGCAGCACTAAGAGAGGAGGAATTGGAAATAAATGGTTCCCAGACCAAACAAAACTTGTGTTGCTTATCATCCCTCAAATACCTAATACCTAATCTTTTCAAGGTGAATGTAGTTCATCATGTCATGAACCCAGTTAATATGGGCAGGTGGATGCTCAGATTTCCAGTTTAAAAGAACCAGTCTCTCCAGACATGTTTTATGGCATATACAAATAGTATGTTTGGAACAATACCTTGTGTCTTTTTTTTTTTTTTTCCACAAAAAATAATAATTTTCACATTAAAATCCATCCTTAATTTGATGAATGTATCTACTTTTCTGCACAGTGAAGTTCAAATGTCACACAGTAGGAACTAATTTTGAGTGGAAGGCTACTTTAATCTTTAACAATGTGTTATATTTTATAATATTAATATACATTTACATCATACATCATTTATCTTAATTTATAAAATTTGTCCCCATATGAGAACGCAGAGTCGCAGGAGGCAAAGTGACAGTTTAAGTTATTTTGCAGGTTAAGATCTTATATTAAATAAATGAATTAAAGATAATGCTTGGTTTTTATGTTTATCAGGTCCTACTTATTCCAAATAGCTAGGAGAAATAAAAAATGTACACTAAACAAAGGCTCGGGTCTCAGGAGGTTAAATGTAGTGGAGTAAAAAGCAGAGAACAAATAGAAGATATAGCACAAAACAGAAATACTCATGTAAAGTACGTGTACCTCAAGATTATACCTAAGCACGGTTTAGTAAATGTACTTAGTCACTTCCATTGAATCCATCCACCTGGCTTTCACTGACAGATGACTGCGTGTGTGTGTGTGTGTGTGTGTGTGTGTGTGTGTGTGCTCCGCAGCGCCCTCTGGTGGTCCGCAGTGAACCGTCCGTGCAGCACTGACTGCAGAGGATGAGCTCAGCTGACTGTCTGGCTGTTATTATGTCCGCGAACGGGCGCCGCCAACACCCAAACACAGTGCGGCAAAACAGGCGAGTGTCGCTCAGCATCGTCTCTAATGAATGAGAGCTCAGGAAGAAACATGAGTCACGAATGAGGTCTGCAGGATCATGTCTTTTAAGGTAAAGCAGCCTTTTCCATCCGTCAGCCTACATCAGGGCCTCAATGGGAAAACAGATTACACCTGCTTCCTGTGCAACTGTACACTTAATTCATTTCAGTGTTTATTTAACGACGTGCTGTGTTTAACTGTGAAGGAAATCGGTGTGAGTTGGAGTTAAAGTGGCTATTTAAGGACTGAGAGGCAAATTATACCGTCTATCCTGTGCTCATGCGCGTGCGCGTGTGTTCGTAATAGGGTGTCAAATAGCCCTGTCAGTGGTCCCACTTATATTTCACACCTGTGTAGTGTGCACGTGTGTATGTTTGCACGAGCTGTTTGATGCAGAAAAAACTTAATTCAACTACCTATAGTCAATTCTGACCCAGAGGAAAAGAGTGTGTGTGTTTGATTATTGATCAGCTGGCACACCTGATTGATGTCATTCACACCCAGACACCTTAAACCGATAAACCTCTACACCTGAGAACGACACCCTGCGCTGTTTCTACTGGTTGTACTCTACTGTCAGTGTGTATAATACTATAATGGTGGTTTAAGGTCAGCGGTTGTTGTGTGTATTTACCCTCCAGAAGGAAACACCCCTGGCTAATGCTGTGTTTTGGGCAGCGAGGAAGGGGAACTTGGCCCTACTTCAGCTGCTGCTCAACAGTGGACGTGTGGACGCAGACTGCAGAGACAGTGTACGGACGCTGCATGTCCTGGCTGCTCAGCTGCACGCTTTAACCATAACCCACCTGTGGTAGGGAGACAGAGAGCTTCAAGCCTTACCTCTGTGGTGCATGTGTATACGACATCATTTCACACCCATTTTATCTTCTTTTTCATCATAATAAAGGGAGAGGGTTTCTTGTGTGAAAGTGGAAAGTCTGCGCAGTTTCATCACCACATGTAAAGTACTTTTCAGCAAGTCATCCCTATAAAACTCCAAAGGTTGCTAACTTCTTGTTGCCATGTTTCTTTTCAGTATGGAACCACGGCGCTGATGGTGGCGTCGTACAGCGGCCATTATGAGTGCGTCAAAGAGCTCATCATGCAGGGAGCTGAAATCAACTACCAGAGAGAGGTATGATGGGAAAATAACTGGCTAACCCATTCTGGACAACAAACTTAAAGTGTCAGTGAATCTGGAGTCTCATTGTCACTGAGAGGTTACCAGGTAACCACACTCCGGGAAGTCACTGCTCCCGGCCAAGAAATAGTCCAGCACAACCCCTCGAAAATAACAAATTTTCTATGTTCATGCTTAATTTTTTTGTACGGGAGTTTTCTGTCTTTGTGCTAAGCTAAGCTAATTGTCCTCTGGCTGCAGCTTTATATTTAGCCTAGCACACAGGGGTGAGAGTGGTATAGTCTTCTCATCTAACTCCCAGCAACCAAAGTGAATAAGCGTTTTTTTTTTAAGAACGTTAAACTACTCCTTTAAATAAAGCTTCTGTAATGTTAGTTTTATGTTTGAAAAGTAGTTTGGCTATAAGAAAAAAAGTTCAGTTCACGTAGAAGAACTGGTCGGCAGAAATTGCGACCATGGGCAGCTTCAAGATGAAAGCAAAATCCACCTGAAACAACCTGCTTCTGAAGACTTCTGAACGAGGCCTTTAATTGCATGTTTTTAATATTCTAAATTTCAAATACACACAAAAATGGAAAGCTGTTGTTTTAAAAATGAAAACAGCAGTATCTTTTTTTTCGTCCTCTCCAGACAGGTTCCACCGCCCTGTTCTTCGCCTCCCAGCAGGGTCACAATGACATTGTGAAGCTCCTCTTTGAATTCGGTGCCTCCACTGAATTCCAGACAAAGGTATGCAGCAGGGCACAATGGCGTGTGTCACAGTCTTTATTATACTGGGTGTGATGGAGACCGCTGTGATGCTATCATCTCAGACTGTGAGTCAGAGTGCTTTGGGCAGAGATAAGGGGGCAAAAATGATGCACATAAAAATGCTGCTCAGGCTGCTTTTTTACACCTCTGGGGATTTTAGAGATGTCCCTCTGAAGCATGTAACACACACTGGTGACTATCAAATATTTTCTTGTTTTCAGGACGGTGGCACGGCTGTCACTGTCGCCTCTCAGTACGGACACTCCAAGGTGGTGGAGACTCTGTTGAAGAATGGAGCCAACGTTCATGACCAGCTGAATGTGAGCCCCTTTGCATCAGACCACTTTCAGACCTGTCTCCTCCCACTGTCAGTACCTCTGTCTATCAGGAACATGATGGTTAGTTGCACACAATGTCCCAGCAGCTGGAATCCAGCCTCTCAGGTTTCTGCTGAGTCAGACATGACTGACATTTGGCAGGATTAGCGCCTGTCCTAAGGCAGGGGAAAACAACCTGACTGCACAAACATACATTTATAAAATAGTAATAATATAGTAACTTGTTATTAATATACTTTTTGCTTAGTTGGAACCTTTTATGACAGTTTTTTTTATCAAGTACATCAGAAAAGTGTATGATATGATTCTTTTATGTTTCAGGATGGTGCCACCTCTCTGTTCCTCGCTGCCCAGGAGGGTCATGTGACCGTGATTCGTCAGCTGCTTTCAAATGGTGCCAAGGTTAACCAAGCGAGAGAGGTAATGTCCTCGCCTCCTTAGCATATTTAGAGATTTAAAAGGACACAGTCACAGAGTTTCTCCCTCTTTAGCTCACACCTCCTCTTTCTCATCCCTCCAGGTTAACTCGTGACCACAGAGACTCTAATGTTCCTCTTTCTTTTCACCTCCTCCCTCTTATGTCCTTCCTCACTGCATCCCCCACCTCATCATCCATGTGTTCTCCAGGATGGCACTGCCCCCCTGTGGATGGCAGCTCAGATGGGTCACAGTGAGGTGGTGAAGGTGCTTCTCTTACGTGGTGCCGATCGGGATGCTGACAGACAAGTATGTGGTTGTATTAGAATAGATACAGTACAGAGAAAGTGCACATAAAGGATTATTGATTGGTGTCATTTTCGTCCTCTTGTCCAAAACAAGACAAGAAGTAGCCCTCTTATCCAAATGGTCAATATGTGTACTGCTACTGCATTTGTGGAATCACATGGAACATATACAGTTCCATAACAGAGCAAACTCTGTAGATGAGGACCATGTGATATAGTTTAAAGCCTCAGAGAAAGTGAGTAAGAGTCCATTGAGTGGAGATTGTTTTGTTAAATAATTGTATTTTTTCTCTGTTGTCTTTCAAGGATGGATCAACAGCGTTATTCAAAGCAGCTTTTAAGGGACACAACAGCGTCATTGAGGAACTTCTCAAGTTTTCTCCCTCACTTGGCCTTCTCAAGGTAGAGGAAGCTGCCATGGGCATTTTGGGAAAATAAGATTACTTGCTTTCTTGCCACGGGATAGAAGATAAAAACCTCAATGTGTCGTTCTATACTTAGAGGTGCAGGCAGGTGGGGGGGGGTTTACCTCTGGGCAGAGCCTGGCTAGTAGTTTCCCACTGTTTCCAGGCTTTATGCTAGAAGCTACGCTAATTGACTGCTGGCTCTAGCTTCCTATTTATCATACAGACATGATAGTGGAATCGACCTTCTCATCTAACTCTGGGCATGAAAGGGAATAAACTTATTTCCCAAAATGTCAATTTATTCCTTTAAAGGTCCAGTGTGTAACATTTAGGAGGATCTATTGGCAGAAATGGAATATTAGATACAGGTATGTTTTCATTAGTGTATCACTATCACCTGAAAATAAGAATTGTTGTGTTTTTGTTACCTTAGATTGAGCTGTTTTTATCTACCGAGGGAGCGGGTCCTCTGCGGAGGATGTTGAACTGCTATGTTTCTACAGGAGCCCAGAACGAACAAACACTTGCTCTAAATAGGGCTTTTTGCTGTTTTTGCTGCCACCGTAGTTTCTCCTACATGCTTAGAAGGCTAGCTGTATTCAGTTGGTTTCAATCTGCAACTTCACCACTAGATGCCACTAAATCCTACACACTGGTCCTTTAATACTAACCCTGCAGCACTGGATAAAGAGCACGTTTATGTCTGTAAATGTGGAGAACACCTCTCCATAAGCATTATGAATACATACAGTATATATTTGTTTGTTGTCTCCAGAATGGCTCGTCTGCCCTTCATGCTGCTGTTATGGGTGGAAATGTTCGGACTGTTCTTCTGATGCTTGAGGCCAACGCAGACCCGACATTACCCAACAAGGTACGGCACTTGGAGCTGAAGGAGGAGATGATAAACAGACAGAACAAGAGTAGATAAATAAACTTTATCTCATGTTTGTTTTGCAGAATAATGAACTGCCTGCAGATCTTACAAAGAGCGATCGCATCCTAAAGTTATTACATCCAAAAATCTTAAATGGAGGCAGCTGATGACCACCCGTCAGAGTCATGCCTGCCTGTACCACACTGATGATGTGCACCGAGGGGAAAAGAAAACAACAACACAGTGTCAAATCTACTCAACTACAATATGTACTGTACATGGTGCTTGCTTCTGATTGCGGCTGAAATTAAGCTGTCATATGTTGAATAAACCTGGACTAAATCTAGAGCAACACAGTGTGCAACCAAAATGCATTTGTCTGCCATGTGCATCATCACCTTTACGCTGTTGTTTTACAGTATATGCATTTATTTTTGTTTACCCCAGGTGTTGTAAGATTTCTAGATTTTTTGCACACTTTTTGTTTGCCTTTTTAATAGATGTAATAAAGTGTAAATTTGTTATTCAAGCCATAGTGGCAGCGTGCATGTTTATTTAATGTATGAGGGTTGAGTCATTTTATTTTCAAACGTGTCAGATTTTTATTTTAATTATAAAATAATAACTGTTTCAATTATTAAACTACGAAGCAGATAACACATATATAGCAACAATATGATTTAGTCATAATGACTAATCTTCACTAGAGGTCAGTATTTTAAGATGCACAGCACTGACAGTATGTATGTACACCTGTCTGTCACCTGTAACTCACTTGTATTGTGGTTTAATTTAGCAAAGTAAAATAATTAACTCTCTATATTTAGTTACATCTGCGTAGTAACCCTAAGGCTCATTATATCTGTTTTCAAAGGCATGGCTGAAGTATCGCGTTACAGGAGCGGATGAAGATAGCAATCACATTGTCACGTGACCACCGCGGAAGTCACAGTGTCTATTTTTGTTGACGCGGAAGAGAGACAAACCTTAAGGATGTTTTGCGATTGAAGTTGTAATAAAGTTGAACTTAAATAGCAGGTGACAGGTAAAAAAAAAAAAGGTGTTATCGGGATTATAGTTTTATCTGAAGCGACAGACTTTAGTTTGACCGACTTATAAAACCCTAATGGCTGGTGGTAATTTACAGGTGAGTGACAAACTTTTACTGAGCTACTTGGTTACATCAGACTTTAACAATTCGGCTTTTTAAAGAACCACACCTGTCTGCTTTCTGCATTTAAAATATTTAAAATGGATTATTCAACGTATTAAAGTGCCAACATCTAAACGTAAAGAGGAAAGAGGACGTTGTTACCACTCTAAGTAAAAACTAAAGGCTTTATTAGTGGTTATTAAACCATGTATGAATTCTTTATGGATAGAAGTTTACACAACATTTGAGTTGCCAGGTTGTGAATATCCTGGCTGATGATGTTGACCCCTTGTTAGTGGTGAAAAGAAATAAAGTACATTTACTCGAGTACTGTACTTAAGTTAATGTTTGCTTGAGTATTTATATTTTATGCTTCATTTCAGGGGGAGATATACTTTTTACACTTACATTTATTTTGCAGCTAAGGACTTCTTACTATATTCTACATGAAAAATACACTAAATAGTTTGAAATGAATCCGCTGGTTCCCAACCTTTATGACTTGTGATTCTTTACAGTAAAGCAGTGTGCTGAGGTCACATTTCAGATGTCTAGGAGTTGTTAGCAGTTCAGTCAAAGAGACGTTTCCCCAACTCTTCGAGGCCAAAAGCACATTTTACTCAAAAAGCAAAGATTAGAGAGAGTCTATAATATGTATGTAAATATGTGTACCACAACTTGAGTTTGTTCTTCTTTCCTCTCCCATTAATCATCTCCTGACCCCACAGGTTTATCTGATGACCCTTTGTAGGGGGCCCAGTCCCTAGGTTGGGAACCACTGGACTAAACAACCCAACTGTACATAAAGTAGTTAGAACTAGCTCCACCTCGAGGAGCTACAACTGATGCATCAGTATTGGCAATCTAATATTAGTTATTAGGATTAGTAGTAGGATTTTTATTTATAGACTTACTTGTAATAGATATTTGTTCTGTGTTGTACTTTTATTTTAGTGAATAATCATACTACTTGTTCCACCACTGCCCTTTCAGTACCACTTTATGATAAGGCATCCTTTATAAAAGCTTTATAAGTTGCAAGCAGTAGCTTTATTAATACTTTATAAATCATTTACTAACTAGTGAATATTAAGTAATGTATATTCAGCATATATGGCCTACTATTACTATTACCAAACAGAAAGTATAAACACCACCCAAAAGGATTTTTCACAACCTGGCAACCCAAACGTTGTTGTATTAGCTTCTAACAGTATGTGTAAATTAGTTATTAACCATTAATAAGGACATTAGTGACTACTTATAAACATTTTCAAGGGTTCCTTATTACAAGTTCGTTTCCTAAATTCCTGTTTTTCATTCTGTTTGTTCTCAGAAAGCTATAGATCTCGCAACCAAAGCTTCAGAGGAGGACAAAGCCAAAAACTATGAGGAGGCCCTCAGATATTATCAGAATGCAGTGCAATACTTCCTTCATGTTGTCAAATGTAAGGAGCTTAACTTGTGACTCCTATCAGTGTTTGATTTCTTACAATATCTGTGTGATTTCTATGGTTTAAACTCCACATATATTCAACACAGCACCATGGCCTAAGCTACTTACTGTGTTGCAGATGAGGCCCAGGGTGATCGGGCGGCACAGAGCATCAGGGCCAAGTGTGCAGACTACCTGGACAGAGCCGAGCAGCTGAAGGAATATCTGAAGAAGAAGGAAAAGAGTCCTCCGGCCAAACCTGTCAAAGAGTCCCAGTCTGACGACAAAGGGTGAGACTGATCAATAATACTGTGGAATGAGTCAATATCACAGTTTGTTGTTGTTTGTTGCTGTGGTGACTTTTGTCAGCATGTTTAAATTTAGGCTCATGAGGGCCATTTTCTACAGTATACCTGGGGGTTGTTGTACAGGTCCTGTAGTTACTTAATAAAATACTATGTAACTTGGTACTCGTAGGAAAAATAGAGACAAAGACTTGGGACAGAGCTTTGAGTTTAGCTTTTTCTCCCTGTAGAACGAAATGTTGTGCTTACGTAAGCTTGAACCAACCTATTTCAACCAATAATATCCAGACATCCACCCATCAATTAATCTTAATTAACTTTAAGCGATACCGAGTGAAGAACAAACGCACAACTTTATCACTGATTTGGGTGAAACTGGATCATCCAGCCAGACAGATGGATGTTAGTTAACTGCTGCTAACTGTGATGTTAGCCTTCCTGTTTTTCCAGGAAACGCGTAAATATTAAATTCTGAGTGTTGTTTATCGCAATGCACGATATATCATCTCATCCTTATTACCACCATCTGTAGATCACCAGTGTACCAGGAATGTCTATCGCTTCCTGCACAAAATGAAAAAAATTGGCCCCCACTCATAAAAACATTGCTCAAAAGACTTTCATTGAAAGAACTGCTGAAATCTTAAAGATCCACATACATTTATCGATTTATTATTGGAAAAGTTATACTGAAGATATGTTTTATGTCTTATGCATGTTTCAGTTAATGGAAATTATTTAATTGAAAGTCCTATAATTAGTACCCAATTAAATTGAATTTATTTCTAAGAATTGAAACTATGGGATCTGTGGAATCAAGTGTTACTGCATACCACTAAAAGACACAAATCATCGTTCACTGTTCAAAAAAGTGTCAATAAATCACAGTGCTGTTTGATTTCAGGGATGAAAATGGTGATGGGGAGGACGCAGAGAAAAAGAAGTTCCAAAATCAACTCTCAGGTGAACGACTGAATCTCTGCATTGAATGAACATAGAGGCACATGCAGTAGTTAAATGTCATTGTGGGACATTTCAGAAAATAATAAATGCTTTGATCCATAAAGTGTTCGTCCATCTCTCTCACAGGTGCCATTGTCATGGAAAAGCCAAACATCAAGTGGAACGATGTAGCTGGACTAGAGGGAGCCAAAGAAGCCTTAAAAGAAGCTGTGATCTTGCCTATCAAATTCCCTCATCTGTTCACAGGTACTGAAAACAAGAGTCGACTTTAAACCTGCAGAAAATGAATGGTATTTAATATCACAGTATCTGTTTGTGTAGGAAAGCGAACACCTTGGCGGGGGATCCTTCTGTTCGGCCCTCCAGGAACAGGGAAGTCCTACCTGGCCAAGGCAGTAGCCACAGAAGCCAACAACTCCACGTTCTTCTCCATCTCCTCCTCAGACCTGGTGTCCAAGTGGTTGGGGGAAAGTGAAAAGTGAGGCACAGGTTCTTTATGTGATAAAAAAAAACTGTGAATGTGATAAACTGACAATAAAACAACTGTTTCTCTCTCCAGGTTGGTGAAGAACCTGTTCAGTTTAGCCCGAGAACACAAGCCATCCATCATTTTTATAGATGAGATCGACTCCCTCTGTGGCTCCAGGAGCGAGAACGAGAGTGAAGCAGCGCGCAGAATTAAGACAGAGTTCCTCGTCCAGATGCAGGGTGAGCAAGAAGAGACCACCTCAAAATCTGAGCTAAAATCTGAATAGCAGTATTTTATGAGGTGTAAGAAATACCATTCTCCTCCTCTCAGGTGTTGGGAATGATAATGATGGGATCCTGGTCCTGGGAGCTACAAATATACCTTGGACCCTGGACTCAGCAATCAGGAGAAGGTAACTTATATAAGAAATAATGCCTGCGTTCTCAAACAGACATTTAAGAGGTTAAATGCTTTATAACGCCTGATTACATCTTTTGTCTGTCCTAGGTTTGAAAAACGCATCTACATTCCTCTGCCCGAGGAGCACGCCCGCTCCTTCATGTTCAAACTTCATCTGGGCTCCACCCCCAACAACCTGACCGAGGCAGACTTCATCACTCTGGGCAAGAAGACAGAGGGTTACTCTGGAGCGGACATCAGTGTTATCGTTAGGGACGCCCTCATGCAGCCTGTCAGGAAGGTTCAGTCAGCCACTCACTTCAAAAAGGTAAAAACACACAGTTCACCTGTGCTGTTTTATACTGAATGTCTGTCGGAACTCCAGCAGGAACATAATGTTCCAAAATAAGACTGATATCTCAGCAGCTATTGGATGGATTTGGTCTTACAAACATACATATTTCTTTGCTGATCCCTTCACTTTTCATCTAGCACCATAATCAGGTCAACATTATACATGTATACACTGCCTGAACACAACTGTATGAATCTGTCAAACTGGGACATTTTCATAATGAACTACCCAGTATCTAATCTAGTATCTTCTTTGTGTCCTTCTGTCCATCCACACACAAACGCACACTAATTAAGGTTCACGGATCAACGTGGAACAATCCAGGCGTTGTGGTGGAAGATCTCTTGAGTCCGTGTTCACCAGGCGATCCCAACGCCATAGAGATGACGTGGATGGACGTTCCTGGGGAGAAACTTCTAGAGCCAGTCGTGTGCATGGTGAGAAAAGACT